GACCTTGCCATTTTTCTTCACAGCTGCTACATTTGCTCAGGCTCGAGCAGCTGAGATCAGTGCTATGTTAAAAGCCGTCGCCCAGAAGTCGTCTAATTCACTGGTTTTCCAGACTCTTCCACGACACATGCGACGAAGAGCCATGAGCCACAACGTCAAACGCCTCCCTAGACGGTTGCAGGAGATGGCCAAAAAAGAGGTAGCGTTTCTTTCATTTAGTGTCAACATTTAGGTTAGTAGTTTCTAGAAGTATTAGCAAGTGTTGACGTGGAAGACTTTTAAGGTAATCAGCACACCTACTTTTTTTTTTACTCTTGAATATTTTTAGTTTGAACGTTATCTAGCCCTGTCCACCCTCTGTAGCTACTTTAGCAGGTAGTCAGATATTGTAGCTGCTTTTAGTAGTTCTTTAATCCCAGCACTCAGGAGGCAGAGGCAGACGGATCTTTGTGAGTTTGAGACCACCTGGTCTCCAGAGTGAGTTTTCAGGACAGCCAGGAGGATAACATAGTGAGACCCTTTGTTGATATCCTGGCTTCTCCCTGGGTCCTGGGCAACCTTGCCCTGTTCCTGCGCCCAGTTTCTCTCCTCCTCCCGCCCATGGTTTCTCCTCGGCACCAGCCTCTCACTCCCCCCCCCCCCGTGTTTCCCCCCCGCCCCCCCCCTGCCACTCCCTGCCAGCCCTCTTCTTAGGGAACCTTTCCTGGTCATGGGGCCTCTCTAATCCTCGGCCTCTCCCTGCCATGGGATCGCTCTTCTCGGGATCCATCTTGACAGGTGATTGCTCCTTACTGCTGTCAGAGGTTGCATGGCTGTGTCGTGCATGTATTAATTGGCTGCATAAGGGCTGTGCATGCAGAAACCCTGTGGAACTGGGGTTGCACAGAGCTGGGCAACAGCAGCTCTGTGACTCCAGTTTCAACAGCCTCACGGCTGAGACTCATTCTAAACCATTCCTGTTCCTCCTGCCTGTTCTCCTTTTTTCCATTTCTGCTCCCCTCCCTTTGCTCCTTTTCCCAAATAAACTCCATGTGAAAGTTTGGTGAATCATGTTTCATCGCGCAGCAGCTGCAGCAAAAGAGCAACAAGAGTTTATCCCACAAGAGTTTAAAATGCAGTATTTGGAAACCCACCCTGCCTGCCTGCCTGCCTGCCTGCCTGCCTGCCTGCCTGTCTGCCTGCTTTCCTGCCTTCCTGCCTTCCTGCCTTCCCTGATCTTCCTGCCTTTGCAGCACTGGTGCTGGTCTTACAGGGCCGTAGTACTGAGAGAAACCTCCTCTTGTTAATGGTGTGGAATTAGTTAATGAATTCGAGGGCCGGTGAGATGCCTACCTAGTAAAGGCTCTTGCTGTCAAGACCCACAATCTGAGTTTGATTCCCAGGATCCACATGGTGGAAGAGAAAAACTGACTTCCTTAGAGTATCTCATCTGACCTCTACATGTGAACCATAGCCCTGCCGTGTGTGTATGAACACGCAAGCACACACAATAAAATTTAAAAATAATTCTGATTCTCCCACCAGATACTTATTTTAGATCCTGTGTTTTTAGAGTATGGCCGGCTCAGAGTCAGAAGGTTGAAAGAAAGTAACGTCACAGCTTAGCATTTGCTGTTTGGCTTTCCTAAAGTTGAAAGCTTGAGCTTGGTTTTTATTTTTATACAAATCTAATTATGTTTAGGCTCTACTCTAAAATTGGCTAAGCTACTCATGTCTTTACTATATGCATCAAAATGTATTTATCAAATGCCTGCTGTGTGTTGGTATTCGGCTGGGAGTGGGTTAGAATTCAGCAAGTTGAAGTCCTTGTCTTACAAGGGGTTTACAAATGTACACACTAGGGTCAGCCTTTCTTCTTTACACCGTAGGCAGAGAAAGCTGCTCACCAGAAGAAAGAACAATCGAAAAATAAATGCCACAAAGCCCGGAGATGTCACCTCAACCGGACTCTGGAATTCAACCGTAGGCAGAAGAGGAATATATGGCTGGAGAC